TACTACTACTACTACTACTACTACTACTACTACTACTGCTGCAACTCCGACTACTACCCCCGACTACCACGCACGACTACGGCACTCGACTACTGCTTAGAAACACTGCCACGGTCATCAGCTGTTCCGTGGCCTGGAATCTGGTATGCGCGAGAGTTTGGATCGCATGCGATAAGAACGATGACGAGTATCGCTTGGTATCACCACGATCATCATCAGAATCTGACCGTAGCAAGAATCACCAAGTCAGAACCTTTCTTCAGGAATTTGAGCTGAGGTCTCCCGAATAAGGAAGCATTGCAAAATAATCCTTCAAAAATCTCACTGCTGAACCTGTAGCAAAGAACTCTGTACATTGACTCGTTAGTGAAGAATTGGCATTCAAGATGCTTCCCGAAAAATCTTCATCAGAAATCAATCTTGGATAACTGGAACACATATCCAGAACAGGGATCCCTTTTATTCCTTCTCACAGCATCCCTACCAAAAAGGAGTCTCGATGAATTGCGAGAGTTTAAAACTCCTTGGCGAAGAATCGTGACTGTGAAATCCTGATTACGCAATCGTTACTGAAGAGTTCTAATTACAAAACCGCTTCTTAGGAGTTCTGAATGAGGAATCCTGAAACAAGGAATCATTATTGACGTATCCTGGAACAAAAAGGTTAGGGTAGTAATTTTAACCCTATGCCCCTGATAAGAAATGCGAGGATGATAGAAATCAGGGCTCGGGGGGGTAAAACAATTCTTGTCCCAGCGACTCGTGTGTGTGGGATGATATGTAAATATGGCAAAGCGAGAGCCTGCTCTTTCTGGCGGGGCCTCCTTGAGGGGGTCGGAGGGCACGAAACCTGAGAAGTAGGATGGCATAGCGATGCCCTGCTCGCTCTGGACGCGAAACCTGAGGAACACCTCGGTATAATGATCCCCCGCTCGCTGTGGAGGGTTCTTCCTGGGGGAGAGGAGTAGCGCCAAACATGAAAAACAATAGTCTACTGATCCCCGGCTCGCTCTGTCGTGGCCTCCCTGGGGAGGGGGGGGGGCGGGGGTTCTGGGGGTCCCAATGTGCCGCCATCCCTCAGGTGCCCTTACGCCGTGCTCTACTTCGAGGGGGAGGTGCGCACAGCTAGCTGTCTGTCCTTGCGCAATCGTCACCGTGACAACCATCACCATGACCAACACCCTCATCACCATCCTCATCATCACGATAAACATCGCCGTCGTCCTTCTCACCGATGCCGCCGTCAGCAGCATCAACATCAGCGTCATTGCCATCGTCGTCATCACCACGGTCATCATCACAGTCATCATCCTCGCAAGCATCATCATCCGCTCGCGGGCTCGGCCGCCCTGAGGCCGGCTCTTGGCCCCAAACGCAGCCGATTATATGTGCAAGGAAAGGCCAGCTCTTGCTCCTGGGGCCGACCCCGCGCCTCCAGGAGCACCGCCTGCGCCCCCAACGCGGCCGCCTCCGTGCCGCTGCCGCCAGTGCCTCCTGAGGCCGACGACATCCTGAAGGCCTGCCGGCCGCATGGGGAAAACGCTGACGGCGTCGACGACGGCGGCGGCGGCGTCGGCGTCGGACGCAGCGACAACGACGTCGACGACGACGACGACGCCGGCGACGGCGACGGCGACAGCGACGGCGACGGCGACGACGGCGTTGGCGACGACTACGGCGCCGGCGACGGCGACGGCGACGACAGCGATGGCGGAGGCGGCGACAGCGATGAAGGGGAAGGAAGCAACGTACGTGACCGCCACTGCCGCCAGCCGCTGTCATGGACTGATGCCACCACCTTCGCTCCCTCCTCCTACCTCCATCCTCCTCCCGTTCCTGCCCCCGCCAGATTCATCGAAGGAGGCCCAGTCGAGACATCGGCGGTCCCTCCGAACGAGGGGGAAGATGAGTTTCAACGGAGTGCGGCCACCCATCTGGGACCAGGGGACGGGGTCGGCGGATGAGCTCCTCCCGCCGAAGGAACGGAACAGGAGGAGAGGAGGAGCGAGGAGGTGTGAGGGGCAACGCCAGGGGAGGACAAGCTCAGGGTGAAAGTATGGACCTGGAATCAACGATACATCGCCGATACGTCGGCAATGGGCCCCCGATGACACATCCACACGTTCCTGGGCAGGTTGGGGTTAGCGGGCCCCATATCGGCGATCAATGGACGATGGGGGTCGATGCATGCCCCCGTGAGCCCATCCCCCCTAACGTTGCCCCTTAGAAGCAGAGCGAGAGGAGGAGCGAGAGAAGGGGGGAGGGCCGTCGACAGTGCCTCGACTGGCCCTCTCCTGACATTAACGCGCACAGGCTGCGAAATTGTGAGGGAGATGGGCAACATCTCACAGAACGGAAAGGCCGCTGGGCCAGTGACCAATGACCCTCCCGGCTGCCAAGCTCTCCAGCCAGATCAGTGAGGCTTCCGTCTACACCGCCATCACCTAGGACACTCGATATCTCGACTTTTTGACATGCAAGGCCCCCGACAGAAGGCCCGCCCCTTTCCCCAGACACGGCTTCTCATCCAGAACTGCTGTTTTACGGTCCTGGGGCCCGGCGAGGGCCCAGCTGGACCGAAGAAGCGACCTGCCCCCGTTGCACTTTTTCCCAACTTCGGCTTTGTCTAGACATTCCTTGCGCATGTTGGAACAATCGGTCGGCGCCAACCGGTCTTCCCCAGACTTCATCAAAGCAAAAAGAGCCACCACCACCAGCATTCCATCGAGCTCCGCAGTTCCCAAAGGCCAAAGACCACCCCCGCTAGCTGGTTGTAATGGTTCTTTCTCCTCTGGTTATTTCTCCGCTGGCTTCGCGGTATCGGTTCCCCACTGTGTTTGACAGCTGACCTTACTCGGGTACTCCGGATCCCACGGGTGCCTTGGTCTTGTCTCCTCATTGTGTGTTGCTGGCCTTGCTCGGGTTCCCCAGGTTCCCTCGGTCTTGATCCCTCTCTGTGTTTCAAGAGGAGTTCCCCCGGGTTATCAAGCAATGCCAAGTGATGTCAAAAGCAATGCAAAGAAATGCCAAGCGAAGCAAAGCGATGCAGTGCAAACCATGCAACGCAGTGCCATGATGCCTTCTTTGCTTAGATGCTTGCGAAGGGAACTTTCCCATGATTAAGGTCGCGACGGGTTCATTGTTTCAAGACGTTGGTGTCCTGGGACTGCCTACCAGGAGTCCACTGGCACGGTCTCACCGCGCTCCGAAACACCCTTGGCCCCAGGCTGCGCCTCCACCACGGACCCAACCCTCTCTGGAAGGGGGGTGGGTTCGTCGGGAGAGTGATGTACACTATGAGCGCGGCTCCCCCGTCTGAATTCCTCCGCGGACATTATCCTTCTTTTCATTTGCATCGGCACGAAACTAGCACTGCCGTGTCCTGAATGCTGCTATCCGACGCCTCGTGTCCCATGTCGCCGCCGACGAGAAGCTGTTTCGGCGGGGGTGGACGACCTTCCAATTTATGAAAGCTGTATACGCCTGAAGTGTAAAGGCATCCTTCTTAGTGGTCATGCGTATCTGCAGTACTTAGCGATGGGCCATCAACAAATACTGGCGCGTATGGTCATCACTGATGGCCATATGCGCCAGGCTTCCCTGCAACTGCAGCATGGGACCTCAGCCGGATTGCACCAGCGCGATCGCGAGGACATCTTGAGACCGGGGGTGGGGAGTTGGCGGAGTGCGCCTGGAATGCGGCATGATGCAAAGCATGCATTGCGGTCGCCCTCTGCACCGAACTTGCTGCGGAAATGGATTACCCGAAAATCAGCCCGTGCTCCGCGCAGACACAAAGCGGCTGTCCAACAATACATGGGTAGAGGCCGGCTCCTCTTCAAAATGTTTTTTTTGTTTTGTTTTTTATCTTGGCGCTCTGCACAATCATCTCTGACGTTGTTGAGCAGCTACACGGGTGAAGGGCGATTGCTTTTCAAGATGGGTTTCACACGTGAGACAGCGTCCTATTTGATGATCATGACCTTTTCGTGCATAATAATGATACGGGCAGAGAAAGGTTCATTCTTCAACTGTGAATGCAATCTTCCTGTCCCTTCTCAACATGGGGTTCTCAACAAACAGATCTTCAGTTCCATAATCCGACGCCGGTATCTTACACAAACAGAGTGATGGAGGGTGGGCCATTTCAAAACGCGGGACTTGCTTGAATGGGACTAGCGTCTTTCAAAGGGGCGCTTCCCGTCATGAAATGAATCCATATCATCCTCTCCTTCCTCTTCCTCCCCGCCTACTCATCATCATCACCGTCAACATCATCATCACCACCGCCATCATCACCATCATCTCTCCTCATCCTTCTCCCTCCTCCCTCTTCCCTCATCCTGTGGACCGTGAAGAGACATCGTCACATTCCACTGCTGATACCTCGCCGTAGGTACTTCCAAAATAGCCGATCCGATCCCCCCTTCTCCATTCTCCACCAAGCAGCAGAGACGCAGACCTTGCCGCTGCACCCTGAAGGGGGGTCCGTCTGAAGTCACGCCGATTTGCGGAACGGACCCATCACCACCTCGGACGAGCCTCAAATCGCTGGGCATCATGGCAAAAGAGGGCGGTTGCCGATTCTGGCCTCTGGCGACTGTCCTTCAACCCACGGGGTCATCAGACAACGGTCCGTGATGCAAACAAGCCCGTAAGCATAGAACTGAGAGGTCTGGGGGGCACGCGCCGTGAAACGGCGACGGCGGATGCCTGGGACACTCTCCGCATGCAGCCATCGAACTACCAGAAGGAGCGCCGAACAGGGAACGAAGGGGCATTTCTGGCCATAGCGAGCCTCAACGACGAGCAGGTTCCCCGACCAAAATATGAGGAACGGCTCGAAATTCAGAGCCCCTACTGAGCCCGAAATGGTCCATGTTTCGACGTCTTGACTGTCTGTCTGCGGCAGCCGTCGAATCGATGGACTCGAGGTTCGCTCCAAGGGTTCGACGCCACCAGTCGAGCACTTCGTATGCTACGACGCCCCGCGTCGAGCACCTCCCGCGCTGACTTCCCCGGCGTCTCTCTGGCCATCGTCAGCGGATGCAGCTACGCTACCGTAGTGTGTTGTTGTATCCTGCTGGTGTGCAGCCCCCTTACAGGAAGCACCAACAGCATAGAATGAAATTTGGGACAAACGCGCAGAGTTCTCCCCCTGGCGACACCTCTGGCGCTGCCCCTGGCGCGAGGAAGGAAGGAGGGTCCGGCGCCGATCAAAGAAATCCGCGCGGACCTCCGAAAATGCCTGCTTATGATGGATTTTCTTCCTCGACTCTTGGCCGGGGCCATGAGGTTGTGTACGCCATGTCAGGGCTCAGGATGGCATTGGCCAGAGATGGCTGTGGTTTGCAGCTGCCTTCTGCGGATCATCATGGGACGCACAAAGACTAACTAATAATATGTGTCCTCCTTGGAGGCGTGCGCTTGATCCGAACTTGTAGCATAATCGTATTGTCGGATACTGCGCCCCGAGCAGTATAGCCAGAAAGCACCCGCCACTGGGCTTATACTGTGACATTTCTCGGCGCGCGCGTCGCCCCGCGGGGGGCGACGCGATAGCGGCGGACTGGGACAGGGGGGGAACCATCGACCTGGAATCGGCGATAAATTGCCGATAGACCGGCGACAGGACCCCGATAGTGAATCCGCACGATCCTGAGCAGGCTGGGGCTATCGGCCCCCTATCGGTGATCAGTGGGCGATTGGGGGTCGATGCATTCTCTCCTACAATCCACAAGTAGATTAAGGACTGGTGGTAAAGACGCAAGACCCTTGGAGGCCGAAGTGCGATTGTTTGGTCGGCGGGCGACCAGTGAAAACGGGAAAGGACTGGCCGCAGAGGCAAGAACACAAGGGTAGGTACCCTAGGTGAAGCCGCGTCCTTGCTAGGCGCGTCGACTGTATGCGTATGTCCTCCCCTGTCGTTGCCCCTGAATGTTGGGGTGACGCCGACATCAGGCCGCCGGGAGACGAGCTCGAAGATCTCTCCGCCACCCCGCGGCCCGCGCCGACCCTCGCTGCTCATGCCAGCGGGCTCGGGCGATGGCGGGCGGCGCTGCGCAACATTCCCCTTGTCCTTGCATTGTGGCATAATTCGCTACAACGATATCCCCGTTTAGTTAGCGCTCCGCCAGCGCAGTTACTCTGCCTAGCCGCCAACGCAAAAAAGTTCCTCGGAACTCGCTTGAAGTGGAAAACCGAGCTCGAACAGGTAGGGAAGGATGGGGGCAACGCATGTAAGCCTGTGAGTCGAGGAACTAGGGGGCTGGAGTCTCTAACTTAGCAGCCCAAGCAGCTGGAGCCGCGAATTCTGACTGCGCGCAAGGACATGTGACCCAGCAACGCAGTGGGAACGCGCATATATGAAAAACAAAAGGGTGAGGAGGAGCGCTGGCACCGCATTATGAAACAAAGAACCAGCATACGAAGACCTGGTTCGCCGCGCGAACAAACCTGCAACAGGATGATCCTCGCAACGACCCGTGCCATGGTAGGCAGAAGCCAGAACATTGGCCC